TAAAATAGTCATTATCCATATATTTTGTAGATTTTTGATTTGTTGTAGGGTTTGAGAGCAGGATTGACAGCTTCGTTTGGCAGATATAAGATGCAAAAGTATACGAGAACTCATCACGCCATAGTATTTTGCAGAATAAGGTTATATTTGCATTGTCGATATTGAAATTCTCTTGAAAACTCTTGAATTCTATTGAAAACGAATAACCGAATAAGTTGTGAATCCAGCAGTGGTGGTATCGGACGAACAAGGGCTAGGATTTCAATTTAGATAATTGTAGTCGATTTAGAGAATGAGAGGTCCATGGCTAAGGCATTTGTGAGGTTCTATATAATGACGTCATGAAACCCGCCATGACGTTGTAATCGGTCATCCGCTGATATAAAAATTATATTATGACGTAATATTTCGATTTTTAAATTGCGTGAAATACGAAATCCATAGGACAGGAACGATGCATATCTCACTTACACGAGTGTATAGCGTGGTGGAGAGACCCAATTTTTTTTTTATAATTTTATGCGACCCAAGCATTTGGTGAGCATGTAATTAGTTATCGATTTTAAGACTATTATTGACATCAGCAATTTTCTTGCACAAAATTATAAGAAACTTAGCACATAAAATCTCGTTATCTCTCTTATCATCAATTCTACACAGCTACTGCTAACCTTGTACTTATGCTATGAAACAAAGCCATTAAAGCACATTAAATTGATCTTTTAATTCAAAACATTCAACGTGGATCCAACGTAGACCAATAAATCAATTTTCTAAATTGTTGTTTTCTTCTCTGTTGGTGGCTTCTATTGCTGCTCATAGGAAACAATCGTCTTTCTCAGCAAGCAACGGACCAAACTAATGCTGCTTGGTTAAAGAAGTAAGGCCTTATCAGTTGTATGTGGCAATGTGCATTCGATCCATATAGCCACAACAGCAATCTTTAACCACTGAAAATATATGTTGCATGTTGATTTCGATGACGACTTCTCGCAGAAATTTAAAGTAAAAAAAGAATTCCAAAGAGCCCGCAGAAATTTTTGAAATATATATATAGAAGTAATAGCCTTCTAGTAATAACAACAATTTTCAACAACTGAAAATTTCAAAGCAAACCTGAAATAAAACAAAGGGAGTTTTTCGTCTGGAAACGTCAATCACTTATGTCAGGCCTGCCCAACCTTTTTCGTCTCTCGGGAAACTTTCACATGACGAAATTCGTTGCGAGCCACAAACGTTTGTACCCAAACTTTAATACCAGCTAAGTCCTGATTTCGGTATAATTTACATAATACATAAAAGGAAAGTTTATTAACATAAAATCAATCAAGTTAATAATGATTTCCTCTTCTGAGTAGGCAAAGTATTCGAATATCAAGTCGAATATTAGAATAGCAGTTTACTATTCGAATATCTGGTAAGACCTAGACATGACACTCGCGGCCGCCGAATCAAAAATTCATTCATTCTAACCCACTTGCCGAATTCTGACGACCACACGAAAATATACACACAATTTTCACTAACAAACAAAGACGTCAATATTGAGTGTTAAATTTGCGTTATGGTGTTTTTACACATTTATTTTCAGCGTCTATGATATTGTCTCAATGTTTAAAATGAGCATAATGTGCGCCAATGTCGCTGAAATATCAAGTTTTAGTGAACCGTTTTGGCAAAATTTGAAACATCAATTCAGGTATTTAATGTAGTAACATTACAGAGATTTCTGGACAAATATATATATACTAATTTGAATATTTAACAATGCATCAGAATTATTGACGGATACGCAGTGACGACATTTCCGAAATCTTGTTTAACGAAAACATAACATGAACAAAAATACAAACATAAAAGGACAACGAGTCCCGGAGCCAGTACCAGCGATATTTTTGTTTTACGTTGGCGATAAAGACGATCAAAGACGGCGCGAAAGAAAGCAATCAGAATGATTGATAGTTAACAGAAATAATCACATCAAAATCAAAAAAATACTCAGGCCTATAAAACGGGGGTGGCCAACACGTCGATCGCGAATGACCGGTCGATCGCCACGTCTCGAGCAGTCGATCGCGTCTGATGTTGAGTGAATTTTAATGAAATACAAATGCAAAAATGCAAATGCACAAATGCAAGTATTTCCGCTGCCAAGGTTAAAAATGAAGTGCTGAATATCGCGTGTTTCAACTGACAAACGGTCCGACAATAAGTTCTGCAGTATTGTCTCACTCCAAAAGTAGTGTGATAAATTTCATTCACAATGGTAGCGGTGGCATCTAAATGCCCAATTTGGTATATTTCTAAGCAAGCGAAGAATCGCGTTTGCAGGAAATTGTAAATTAGATGCTGAAGTTTGGGCAGTCATGTAACATTCATGGTTTGAGAATTTTATTTTTTTGCTATTCAGGTAATGCACGAATACTTGGCAAGGTTTGTTGAGGAATTTTCGACACTTATGTATCTGAATTGTATGATTTGAATAAATCTTGAATAAATGATGAAACATTTACTCCGGATACAATTAAATAATCAAATTAACAACTTAAATGGAACAATAAAAATACAAATTTTGTGTCGATTTCATTAACAATGCTCCCACAAAGCCGAGTTCATCGGCAGTGGTAAATTTTTTCGTATGCATGTGTTATCTGCGTATTCAGTATCCATTCGTTTTTGTGTATGACCTTATTACCGATCAGTCGATCGCAAGCTATCGTGTAGATTTTAGTCGATCGCGTTTAAAAGCAGGTTGGCCACCCCTGCTATATATATAACATAGTAAAAATTTGAAAAGTTTGCTTACAAATTTTATAGGGTGGGCCGCGGGTCGTGCAGCCTTGACTTATGTCATGCTATCGTGTTTTTATAACAATTATATTTTGCACCCTTATTACTCTGATTTATAGATGCGATAATGTTTTTACCTCGCCCCTGGGAAGATTTTCTGAATAGAATAAATTCGCTAAATCTACAAATAAAATGCATCATTTTGATCACATCGGCTGTGCTCCACGTAGGCTATTCCAAGACCTCAATATAGTATTTTATAACTCTTCATATATATAATAATTATATAAGCATCACCTTAGTGCAGTGTTTGCCAACCCGAGTCCGCGGTCCGTATTTTTATTTTATTGTGTTATTTGACTATGTTTGGTGGACGGGCGTGTATTTTTACGTTTTTAACTTTGTCTTCAAGTTCAGATCCTCTAGCGATGTCTGGTCTCTGCAAGTTAATTCGCATATCTTAATCGAGTCATTAATTACTGGTTATTGAGTAGGGCTGGTAATATATTCGAATATTCAACTATTAGAATAAGAATTAACTGTGCGAAAATTTGGTAACCAAGAATGCAACAAGTCACTTGCGCGTCGCTTAATCAAACGATCGGATTTCACAACTCACTGACACGCTTCTACCAAGTGGTGTTTCTCGCGAGTTCGAACAACGAGGAATAAATTTTCTGATAAGTGTCAATGGTGGCAATTCAAATTTTCTAATTTAAAAAGCGGCAATAATAAAAAATAAAACCGATCAAATTTAAATCGCTTTTTTAGACATTGCAAATCGAAAAATTTCTGGTGCGACCGTAGTATTGGAGCATTTTTCTTTAGGTTTCTTTGCTTTATTGCCTTCCTATTAGTACGTACAGTGGTACTGGAGCGCCATAAGCGTTGTACGAACAGATCAGATTTGTCGAATTCACAAAAATACGAACCAAAACAAAAAATAATCGGTATAAAATAAAATAAACGCACTTTGAGTCCGCAAAGGTTTTCACCGGTGAGAAAATAGTCCGCGACAAAAAAAGGTTGGGTAACGCTGCCTTAGTGTGACAGTGTTCTTACGCCAGTTGGTTTATCGGTTCTAGGTAAATTAGCCGTATGAATATCGTCTTATTTGAAAAAGATTCGTTATTTAAGAGCCTATACACCTAACCATATAGAAATAACTGTTTTAATCACAAATACTTTACAGCAAAATGCGGTTTTCCCTATGCAGCGAAATTTCCTAGGGCAAATTTTTCCGGACACGGTTGTTACCACTGCTGTTCTTCACATTTATTACTAATCGCCCCTTAGCACAGTCGGTCTCCTGTTGCAAGTTCAAATCTCGTCCATTCTAGTGTATATCAAGACTTTCCTCAAGGCAACCCTACTTCTTAATTTAGCAATACCACTGTTTATTGATATAAAGCAGGGGTCGATAAACTGCGGACCGCGAACTAATTTTTGCGGGCTCCGACCCACCATACTTTTGATGCATAAAACCAAATTGATCCTGAGTTTATTGTCTCCGCACGGATTGATGCGGTAGCAAGTGCTGCTGTACGGCGTATGTCGTTTACTTGATGAACGTCCCATCGCAGGTTGTAATTACAAGTTAAGTTTATGTTGATTTTTAAAATATAAAAATGTCTGGGAAATATTCCAAAGTGCTAGGACGGAAAAATATTCTTTAAATCTCGTGCATTTCGAAAATAGTTTGCTTGGTATACCAAGTGAGCATCGCAGTTATTAATGATTTAATGTTAAATGTCATTACGAAACGTGTCACTGCTCATCTGTGTACAGTGCAAAACGTGTAATGTGCACGTTCGGAAGCATATATTGGTGCGAGCAGCTTTATCGCCAGATCGTCATTTGGACGACGTACTCCGGACAACGAAGTTGTCATTTGATTTTAACGCTTTGGCCATGACAGGAAACATCATCCTTCACATCGATAATATATTAAAATAAAGCCGCATATCCTTCTCATTATGACAGGCTTTTAACAAAATAATAGAAGGTGCAAGTACGCCATAATTTAAAGTTTGGTGCGGTGATTGTTCGCAGGCGGAAATTAATGCGACCCGCCCGCTACCGGAAACGTGTATATTCGGCCCACAAGTACCTAAAGTTTACCACTGATATAAAGTAATATTTACCCAATTGATTCAAGGGGTATCAGACTACACTACTTTCTTGCATCCCATTCAAGCATGAGACAAAACTAGAAATTCTTAATTTAGTTTATTTCGACTGTACCTCGATCAGAACATACAGCATATACGTAAGAGCAGTCTGAAACGGTAACAAAACAGGCGATCTTTGTGTATATTTGAAAGAAAAGAACTGCAGCATAAATATATATTTTGTAGTTGACTGTTCTGGAAGTTAATGCACCTAGAAACTTCAACTACGGAAAACTTCTCCACGGGATAAATATGAAGGATTCTAGTCACTGAGCAGATCCGTTGTGCATTGGTCATAGTTATAAAAGTTACAAATATCGATAGAAAAATCAACCTTTGAGAAGCAATTTAGGTCGAAGTGAGATACGAGTATGAACGGAACAAATTGAGAATGAACTTTTGTTTTGCTAACGATTTGAGGTGTCCTCAGTGGAACAAATTAACAATTTTAAAGAAACAATATGTATGAACTAGCAATTACTTTTAATTATAGAGGTTTTAAATACAAAATGATAAGCACATTGTGGCACTTTATAACTTCGAATAAATATCTACGATACAGAAAACTTCAATTTTCTAACTCCTTAACTTTTTCTAAATGCGCTTGCACACCACTCCACAGTGCTTTGATATTTCCAGCTCCAAATCCACCTTGGGTGCGATGTCGCTGAATTAGTTCAAGAAAAAATGTCTGTTCTTTAAAGAGATTCTTTGTGAAGACTTGCATAATGTACCTGTGAACATTCAAAACTTTGATCAATAAGTTTAAGAACATTTTTCAAGTCCTTTTATAGATGAGCCTGAGACAAATGACTAATGAGTGAGTGCAAACAGTAGTCAATTCAGATCATATGAAGATCCCTCCGCCCAGGGAGTTTATGGTGGGAGGGAGATTTTCATTTGATCCACCAATTCTTCCAAAATATAGGGATAATAAACTAGACATACTGGTTTAGTGAGCCTGTTAGTCGGAAGGTGATACATGAGAGCAAAATCTAACGATCTCTAAATACTGAACCAATCCCTATTTGTAAGATTTAATGAATATATCAAAACTGTTTAGAAAATATAGATGAAAATTCTACCAAAAATAATTTAGCAATCACTCACCAGCTATTCACATCAGGTGGCAGTAATACCTCTGTATTGTCAGAGTCACTTGATTCCACTAATATTCCAGATTTCATCAGCTGGTCTGTTGTTATATTTAAATCTTCTATTTCTTCAATTCTATTCATCTGTGAACAGCAAGAGATAGAGAGATGTTTTTTTATCTTAATATCCAGTTCACACTTATTGTTAATATCATACATTGTGCACCGAAACAAAGCACAATATTCAACAACTTGAACAGAAAAAGCAATATAAGTCAAGTCTAGGAATTTTTTTTATGTTCATGCTGGTGTGCAGGGGGCACATGATATTTATCATATTTTAAACTTTTTCAAAGATTTTGCTCGCTGTCCAGAATTCTCCCTTTTTTAATTTGTTTGTATTATGAAGCTATCAGAATAAATTATTTATTTATTTTAATATTAGAAGAATAACATTTTCTTATTGATGGCTTAATCCTATGGTGTACCACGGTTACCAGACCATGTCAGGTATGGGATTAGTTAGGCAGTTAGTATTTGTTTAAATGCATGGACCAGTATTTACACAGATCATAATCAGAGGTGCGATGGCAAGCGTATTCATATCGCTTATCTTATTTGTGCATATCTTAGTGCGTTTGTGAATTTAGTGCAATTGCGCCAATCAGGACTAGAGAGCCAAATCCTATCTATGGATTTGTGACGTTTTGTTGGAAGACTAATTTAAACCAGCTTGCCAGCCCTGGTCAAAATGAACCACATTGTCAAAGCAATTTAGTAGTTGCCAAAATAGTACCAGCTAACATAAAAACACTAAATGGTATTATTTCATCTCAAGTTTGCAACATTGCTTTTCAATATCTGATATCTCATCATAGAATTTCCCTTGTTGACTTTACTTATATTTCATTTCATAATATGTCATCACATGAACACTTAATGATATTTTTGTTGATCAGAAAAATTTAAAAACATAAAGAGGGGACACCCGGATTTGAACCAGGGACCTCTCGATCTGCAGTCGAATGCTCTACCACTGAGCTATATCCCCACTTGCTCAAAACGATTCAATATATACAATTGAATGTCTTGATTTGCCTGGGGCAGGAAACTAATTAAAATAAAATATATACAAGTGGTGTTGTATTATTTCCGCCAACAACTCCAAATCTTTCAATACCAGTTGACATGATTAATTGAATACCATATTGTAAATAAAGTATCCTACATTCATTATTTTTCTGTGCGGTTTGGTAGATTGTGTCAAAATAGGTTTGCTTACTTGGAAGCACAAACTTGGGAGCTTAAATAAGGTCTTTTGTTAACCAGTAAATTCTGGCATTTTAAGCAAGAATTGATGCACATATAGCATATCATATCAGTGATTATTTGCGTATACTATATATATATATATATAAATACATATCGTCACAGAAAAACCAAAGGAGCTTAGAAGCTCACATTTTAAGAAGTTGACTCATTTTGAGCTTATGTCCTTATGGACCATCAGCCATCTTTTGGTGTGGGTTTCAAAGCTGTAGCTGATTCAGTTTTAGGCAATGTCTTATTATGTCCATTTTTGGGTTAGGCTGTACAGCTCCAAAATTTGTGATACGAGATAATTTGGTTCTGCGGCAATATATATATATATATATATACTTCACATGAGGTTCACTGGCCCTAATGTAAAAATAGTGCTAATATATGTGGCTATATTTCTCACTAAAGATTAAAAGATTCCATACTATTCTATTCCTTACTCCCTTTATAACAATGGTTTTATATGATTATTAAAATCAAGTTCTAAATAAAAAAAAGGAGGGGACACCCGGATTTGAACCAGGGACCTCTCGATCTGCAGTCGAATGCTCTACCACTGAGCTATATCCCCACACGCTCAAACACCTTTCATTAAATATGTTTCATTGTCTGGAACAGTGGTTCTCTAAACATCTTTGGCCGCACCCTGTTTGTAGAATTAGGTAAGTCTCGCACTCCACCTCAAAAACAACTAGCTAACAATAAGCTACAAATAACAGATAGTAAAAGTATGTTGTACTCAAAAAACACGTTTAAAATACGTGAATGGAACGTAAATAATGAAATAAATAGAAGTTTTAATTAAATCAAATAGGGCGGACAGATATTTAATTTTTAATTAGCTTCACGGCCCCTCTAAAAAATGTCTGCGCCCCCCCTTGAGGGCCACACCCCACCGTTTGTGAATTCCGAGTCTAGAAGGAAAGAAGATAATGAAAGTAAGCTGTATAATTTCCCATGGCAGCGCTAGCATGGAGCAGTTTGGAAATACAAAAAAACCTTTAAATTGGATTTTAAGCTTGTTGATATAATAAAAGTATGTTAAAAATCAAGATAGAAAAGAGGGGACACCCGGATTTGAACCAGGGACCTCTCGATCTGCAGTCGAATGCTCTACCACTGAGCTATATCCCCACAATCTCCAGGCATTCCGCCATACATGTTTGATTATCTTTACTATAGCTCATTATCATTAATTAGCCTCAGGCAGAAAGCTAATTCGACAACAATTCCCACTAATCTAGTTCATTGCACCTCACAGAAGACTTGCTATAATTGCAGGAGTAGCTAACACTAAATAAATTTATAAAGTTTATATTGATTACTATAGTTGCCATGTCACTATATTACCGTAATCTTTTTTTTTTGTGAGTCATGTTCATGTTCAATATGGGTTATTAATAAAAGGTGGTACATGGTGACATAGATGACTTCTGACCAGAATGTGGGATTATCACATAAAACTGAGAGAAAGACAGATGATTATATAAGAAAAGAGAACAAAATGATTTTGATTTGATACATGTCACGAAATTCATTCTATTCTAGAAAAAGTGGAAACCAGATGTAATCATGGATAAGATAGGATTTATATATTTATCATGGGGAGGCGAAAACTGATAAAAAGGCTTAATCATATAGTGAACCACAGCCTCTCATCCAAATACCAGTTCGTGTCGTGTATGGCATGAGTTAGTCAGTTATTTGTTTTAGATGCATGGTCTTGATAGTGGAGTGAGCAGTAAACGACCAGCGGTTATGTTAAAGCGTTCATAATGTGACAAGCAAAAAATGACAATGCAAGAGAGAGACAATTTCAACAATGTTATAGCCCAGGGGTTCTCAAACTTTTGGTGTTGCGGAGCCCCTGAAAAGGTTGACCATTATTCGCGGAGCCCCAAAAGAAATGTTAAAATTGTAGCTTTCCGATAAATATTCCTGAGTAAGTTAAAAGTACTTAACTTAATTTAAAGGCTAAACCTTTTTTTAATGGGGTTAATGCAAGTCATAAATAAATCAAAATTTCAAAGATAAATTATATATACTCTTACTAAAGCTGTAAATTTGACACTTGACAAACATATTAATAAACTTGGGGTCGAATCTTTTCCCTTTTGACATTTTCGGAAGACTTAAAACTAAAAGGCTGCTAATAACGTGCGTGATTGCATTTTGTTACAATCACTGATAGTTTTCGTCAGCATGGCATGTTAAACATCTTTACGCCAGTGTTTATTCTCCCTAAATCAAAAATTTTCTTCGGCTTATACACGTATTGTTCCACAATGACGACGATGATTGCTTTTTTGTTCTCATGGGGAATTATGAGTTCAATGTGAAAAACATGTTACCATATATAGTCATCGGCGACGAAATGCTAAAAATAATAATTAATAATAAAGAGGTAAATCCGCAACTCAAATTTCTTGATTGAAAAACGGCATTCCAAAATATTAAATTTCAAAATAAAAGATCACACTATAAGTTTGGTTTTAGCAGACTCACGTCAGATTAAAAGCGCTTTTATATGCATTGTAAATCACAAAATTTGGTGTAATGTTAGGTTTTCTTTGGTTATTCGTAGTACAGTAACTGAGAAATCGAAACACAGTCAATTGTGTGCGCGATTTACCTTTTTTTTATTCTGAAACTACCGACGGAGCCGCATGCATTAAAATAAATTTCAATCGTATTTTGCCCAGATCTTGTGATTTTTTTAACGGCGACATCTTGCTTAATATTAATCTCGAGTGCAAAAGAACAAATCAAGTTTGACAAATTCCAAGATCGCAAAAATACGACTCCAATTTATTCATAGGTGGCAGTTTATCACGTATTTTATGTTATTTTAGAATAGTATTCCTTCATTTTAGTAATCCTAATAGTAATCTCGAATGAAACTTGAGTAACTATGAGTACAATTGAATTATTACGACGAGACACTTTAAATGCTCGCATCGGTCATACATTGAATATTTTACGCAACAGAAATCTCGTTATCCGTTTTTTATAATCGCAAAGAATGTTGCGCGGAAATTTCCGATTCAAATCCCCACCTCTTGAGAATCCTGGCTGCGCTCCAGCTTATAAATAATGTCATTTTTCGATTCCGCCTCTTTGTCATATTTCGAGGCTATAATGTTGTCAAATTTTATCAAAGCTGTTATTGTTTCTTTGAACAGTTACAAAACTAGTCATTATTTTAAAAAGTAATCGGATAGCTCACGGAGCCCCTAGGTTTCTCTCGCGGAGCCCTGGGGCTCCGTACGGAGCACTTTGAGAACCTATGTTATAGCCTACCAATGGATGTGAAACTTTCGTGGAATCAGAAAAGTCAACCTCAGGTCACTCTTATCATTATGAATATTTAAATTTTAAAATCAGTAGATATTATGGTTGACACAGAAATGGAGCACTCAATGTAACGAAGCAGAGAAGATAAAATAAAACTCACATCGTGATAATATTCAATGGGTGGTGCAACAAAACTAGCTCCAAGTTGCTTGAAGTGGTTGACTGCTTCTAAAATATTCCTAGTTCCGAGCCCAATATGTTGAATGCCCATACCTCTGTGATAAAAAAAGAAAATTTTGCGATGGCCAAAATGAATTGGGTATATCAAATCTCATTGATGAGAGCCCTTTTTCGTTTGTTGGTTTGAAGGTTTTAAAGTACTGGGCTGATACTACCACCTACAGCAAGGATGTGCAGCATTTTTTGTCAGTGGGTCATGTAACCAACATCAGACATCTAGTTAGACCAGTGGTCGGCAACCATTGGGCCGCGGCCCATCGCCGGTCCGCGGAAAGATTACTACCGGTCCGGTGACCTAAAACGGACAGAATCCTAATAACACCTCTACAAACCCGACAAACATAACACATCTGAGCAGCATGTCTGACTTCACAAACAATTTCCACGTCAATAGTTATGGCTAAACAAATATCAATAAAGCAATTCTCAAATGATTGCGCCACAAGATCTAACAAAACTGAGAGTGTACATAATATCGGGAACATCATTCGCAAAGAAAAAAGACTTTCAAGCGCAAGTACAGAGAATTGTATTTGCAATATGGATTCATAGCTGTGAGTGACAGCAACAAAATTGTCCAGTTTGCGTTCTTTGTCATATTAAACTCTTAAATGATGCAATGAAGCCTTAGAAACGCTGGGGTCGTCTCGTCGACGACGAGATTGTGTCATATAGGGCAATTGATTAAAATTTCAAATGATAATGAGTTGAAAAGCATCTTTGCGAAATACATACTCAGCAGTTTTTTGATTTATAATCCTATATGAATACCTCGACGTTAGCTGCGCTGTTACCTTTTTCCTTATGTCAGGTCGGGTTTTCAATATTTATATCAAATTTAATTTATTTTAAACAACCGCAAGGAAAGACTGCAGCAACGAATTACATAGGCAACAACCAGAGTGCCGCGTGAATAGCAAAACTCAAAAGAAGGGAATGCGGCCAGCACATAGCTTTATAGTAATGAAGGCAAAGCAGCAAAGGATTTGTAGCAGCGAGAAGAGCAAGAAAACATTATGTATTTTTACCCATGTGAGCGCTTTTTTAAACAGACTGTCGGATAGGTAAATACGACTCACCTGTGTTCTTCTAAAAATGTTGATATTTGATCACTAGTTGAGGAGCTAAGTGGTTCACCAAATACGAATTTAACGGGCGCTATATACATGTCTGAAGAGAAATCACCTGAGATGAAAACAAAATTAACATGTGAATAAGCTTGAAGCCGGATAAGAGCTAAATAATCTAAAGGTTACAAATGTTCAAAATATCACAAAAAAAGTAAAAAAATTCCACTATGACATGTTGATTTTATTCCGATGCAAGGAGATGGCTCAAATAAGTTAACAGAAATCTCAAAATATGAACAATATTGTCACTTCATTTCCCATATGGATAGGATTTAAATATTTATCCCGGAGGAGATTAAAGACGACAAGACGGCTCAATAATATGGCGAACCACGGCCTCTCACCCAGTTACCAGTCAATGTCAGGTATGAGATTAGTTAGCCAGTTATTTGTTTTTGGAAGCATGGACTCGATGGTGGGGGAAGCCGTAAATGTGATTCAAAGGGTGACGCCCAGGACCTTGAACATTCTAAGAATCATTTCAATTTTACCTGTACATTTTGGTGCAAACTGATCAATTCCATGAATTGCTTTTAACCTCATTCCCATTGGTCCATGTTCAACTTTGAACCCTTCATTAACCTCATCATTCCTAAATGTAGATGGTAAAGTTGAGTTCTAATTATAGCACAAAACTGCAACATTAGATAAAATAGTGATCTTGTCCAAAACTTTTCTTATTAAATTTTTGTTATACCTAATTAACCTTGAGTAAGTGGTTAACTAGTATATTGCTTGTCTGTACTTCCCTTTCCCCTGAAATGCTATTGGTACTTTATTACGTCCTATATATATAGAGTATATTTAAAAAAAAATAATGCTCTGATTGACTAACATTTCCTTAAATAATATTAATAATTTTTTGTCAAAAAATTCAAAAAGGTGAACCTAAAATTCATGAGAAATATGTCTTTATTATCTCACTTGTTGATGAAGAGTCTTTCAAACTCAAACACGAAGTTGTACCAGTCTATGGCAGAATCCGCAAGTCCCGTTGGTACCATGTATGCAAGATGATCAATGCATTCCACATAATGATGATTCGAGTTGACATAATTGTGATTTATTTGGAAACCAGGTAAAAACTTTCCAGAATAATTTGATAAGTCTACTAATGTATGTTGTAAATTTCCAAAAGGTGACTGAATAACTGCATAGGAGACTGTGCCATTGAGGTCTTCTACCTGGAAACAAACGAGAGATTTAAATTCTAAAGAATACAATTATATAATAATTACTTGCTTTAGATTTTGAATTTATATACACTAGACTATACAATCCACTACTAGTCCAATGACGGAAAACATGGAACCATATAAAATAACCAAAATCAGCCAGTCATGTCATCCAAGATCCTTATTCATAATAACTACCCATAGCTATGTTAGGCCCGGCTGCAAATACTATCCAAGTTTAAATATTTTGACATTTTGTTTTTATAAAAGTTTGACTCTGTAAATATGCAATTGGATTTGAATGGTCAATCAAAAAAGCACAAAACGAAATGTTTCATAAGGTTATGAAATTGATAGTATTGTTCCTTTTGCCGAATAATTTCATACAACTTTCTACCTTTTTTCAAAGCTTTATTATAAACCTACAAATTGAATATGATATTGAACCCAATTGAATAGGCCTTTTCAGATGTTTGAATACAATAATGAGAACATTACCTTTGATCGGATTACACAAGATCCTTTCTGTGTCGTTTTCACTCGTTCAAGAATTTCATCAATATTATTGCATTGAAAACAAGCATCGCAAACAGTGTCTACTGGATAATTCACATTTCCATTTAAAAATAAGTTTGGTAAATTCCCGTTCACCTCTAATACTGTGTTGTCATGATTTCGTTTGTCAATCACAAACACAACACTGTGATGTTTGACTGCTATAGAGGACTGCGCTGATGGATTGTTCAGACGATGTGCAAAATATTGAAATCCAAAATGTTGAATCAAAAATCTAGAAAACTGTTCTGGATTGTCAACAGCAAATCGTATATGATGTATACCCAAATATTTCATGATAAAAAACTATAGCAGCTGTCAGTGTGAAATCAGAATAAAATGATAAAACAGTTATTACCGTATTCCATCTGTGTGCTAAATTATGCAAAGAAAGCGATTCCAAACTCGAAACTGTCTTGTTGCACCCAAACGCAAGATGTGTTTCGAAAGAGAAGATGCTGGAAAAAGTTTTGGTAGGTAGCATGCTGCTATTTTGAACTCGTTTGTCAGTTTGTAGGCCAAGAGTTAAAAAAAAAAATGCAAGGAAAAATCCGTTATGCAAAATTTTTAAAAAGGTTGGGAACCAGATAGACATACAGGATGAGCGAACACATACAGGTACTACTTTTTACAACACCTTCCAATCTTAAATCTGTACCGGTACGGTACGTTTCAAACTTGCTGACCTGACTTAAGGTTTTGTTTGCTCTCCCGATTCCATGATCAGTTTTATTTATTTTTATCAATTATTTCATCGTCTATTATGCTGATTACCGTATGGAGTCGAAAAAAACTTATAGGTTACCGATACCGTAACATTACCGTACTTTTACATAAAACAGAATTCACCTATTTATCACTGTCAGACTGTGGTAGAGTACCGGTACCGGTACTAAAATAAGTACCGGTACCGTAACTAAAATAAGTGTTGATACTGATACCTGTACTGGTAACCGTACATATTAATGAAATAAAAATATTCAACAGATTCAACATCCAGGACTAACGCCCGGCTCGGTACTGGTACTGGTAACCGTACATATTAATGAAATAAAAATATTCAACAGATTCAACATCCAGGACTAACGCCCGGCTCGGTCGCTTTCACCTACCGGTACGACGAACATACGGTACCGTAGACTACATCAATAAGGCAAACGTGCCTGCTCTGCACCAAGAGGCAAACGAAGGTCAAAAGTTGCGCCATCATGGTCCAAATTTTATAATAGGTTATTCGGCCCATAATATTTGTGGCGCGAAATTAGAATTGATGTTTCATATTGATATATGAATAGTAGTCGTGGTCGATGTTCCCTCTAATTTTTGTAGTATGTGTGCGCAAAAATTTTGGTGTGGTCGCACTTTTTTGAAAATGACTAATATTTGTGCAAAAACCAATGAAGAAATTTTGGCGTTCTGACTGGGTAATGGGTGGGCCAACAACAAACTTTCTCAACCTGCCAACCCCAAATATTGTTACATTACATCGAATACGCCTGTGCGCAGTAAATCTATGCGTGTGCGCGGCCTCTGAAAGATGTGTGCGCGCGCACACGCGCACACCTTAGAGCAGTGATTCTCAAACTAGGGTTCCCGAATATTATGTATGAATCAAATAACTCAATGATTGTTTTAGTATTTAGTTTACCCTTGCGTTCACATCAGCGACAGCTGTTGAATACATTAAGGGCTGATTCCAAAACCAAATTAATTTTATTTTGAGTTTTATCCTCTGCCTTCGATTTGATCTTCCTTATCACCGCTTGTAAATTAACCGTACCTGTTTAAAGTGAACGGTAACCGAGATGCAGATATTTTTAAAATGATAATTAGGTTTCTCGTGCTTTTCTATGGTGTTCGTGTTATTTTAGTATTAGATAGATAAACCTAGCAAATTTACGATTGCGTGAATCCTGAATGTTGATTTAAAATAGAGATTAAATAATTTGGCAATAAAGGCATTTCTGGGGCTTTGTGCCTAATAGAGCGTCAGACGCTAATTATAACTAATTTCTTCAAGTTTTAACGTTTTTGTTTCAACAAAACAACGCCCCGATGGTTGTTATAGCTAAAATACTTACTGAGTAATGCTCAATTTTTCTTTACGTAATTGGCAAATTCAGCACTACACTTAATGATTTTGATTATGTCATGCCATAAGGCTTAATTATTACTGCCCAAATGCTTCAAAATTTAACAATTGTAATCATTTTCGATGATAATAGACGCAACAACTCTGTGAACGAGTCAGTGTGCATTGTTACAACGAAATTCACGATTGATTTTACGTTCTACTCTTGGCTCAACGGCCATGCTTGGTCGAGTGAAATGTTTACATATTCGAAACCTTACTTGGCCAAGGATGGAGGGATCACTAAAGAGCTGATACAAAGTGACTGGAAGGGAGGAGGGCATGACATTTCTTATATGGTCACAACTTAATGAGTGTTTTTTATACAAGTAACTCATACCAGCTTTTGGAAAAGCTTTTGGTCATTTTTAAATCCATGCTATTTAAATAACTAGAGTTTTTTAACGACCTAAAATCGCCTTTTTCACAATGAAACGCCGAAAAGTCATTTTAACATTCAATCTTAATCAACTTTATGTTCGGTAATGTAAGAAATGGCTAATGACATGTCACCAAGCATGCGGAGTTTAAAATCTGGGAAGTTTATTTTAAATACCTAATCTGGTTTGACGTTTCTAAATTTACGGAACGGACTGTAAGTATTTTTTTTGCAAAATATGGGATTGAAACGACACGTTAAGTGCAAAAATAGCATATAACACCATATCCCAGAGACAACGACTTTTCAAATTTGTCGTTTTTTTCCCGATAGCGACCGCCATTGGGGAATCTCGCACAATTAACAATTGAGTTGGAGACGCGTGAGTTCGATGTCCAAGCAGAACGGCGCAGGTCATGTGGTACCGGATATTCGAATAGTAAAATGCCATTCGAATATTTTATTATTGAATATTCTGCCCAGCCCTAGTTGTTACGTGTGCTGTTGTTACGATGTCTTGGTATTTTAAATACGCACTTGAGGTTTGTTGCTATTTTACCTTGCGTTGTTTGTGTGCGGCTCTTCATAACTTTGAGCTTTGAAATGCGGCTCTGGGACTAAAAAAGTTTGAGAACCACTGCCTTAGAGGGAACACTGGTCGTGGTCCATCCAGTAAAAAATAACATACGAAACGCACATTTTTACTGGGGAAGGGAAGTCGCGGGGAACCGGGATTGGTTATCGAGCAGCGACACCCAAAGTCCAATATCTAATTTAATTTCTAAGGTCAGAAATTGGGTTTTTAGATTACTTTTAATATAGATGAGTATAGCTTTGGCAGCTGAACCACATATAGTATCAAATAGACATGAAAGTTATATGAGTCGACCATAAATGGTACATGGCAACATCCTAATCGATTCTCCGATTGACAGGCAAACAAAGTTCGGATAGGATAGGATTTACATATTTATCCTGGGGGGGAGAGGAAAACCGATAAGACGGCTTAACCATAAGGCGACCCACGGCCTCTCGTCCGGTTACCAGTCCATGTCGGGTATGGGATTAGTTTTAGTTATTTTTTTCAGAAGCATGGACTTGATGGTGGAGGAAGCTGTAACCCTGGGGTCGGCAAACTGCGGCCCGCAAACAAATTTTCGTGGCCCTCGAACGACTTTCAATTCATAAAATAAAAATTGATTCTATCCAAATGGATTTATGTGGTAACAAATGTCGCTGTACGTCATTTGTTTTATAGAAAGTAGAGTCAGTTGTAAGTCGTTTATTTGATGAACGTCGTCCCATTGTATTGGCTGTAATTAATTTAAAAGTGTCTGGGAAATAGAGGGAAGTTTGCGACGAGCGCCAAACATTCCAAAATGGTTGGAGGGAAAAATATGTTTCCTTTTCAAGTTTGCTTGATGTGCCAGGTCAGCATCACAGTTGTTAAGGTGTTTAATGTTAAACGTGTAATTGCAAATACGAAATTAGGGGTGTATGCCGCACATCTGTGTGTTTAGGCCAATATGGTCTTGTGCATACATCCCGTCTTCAGTATTTATTATTACTTACTCTTTTATATTGCTTTTACGAGACGAATAAACATATATATATATACATACATACATACATACCCGGAGCTGCGCCACTGCTCATCGTGCGACAGTTTAAAACGTGAAGTGGGCAACTTCGGAAGCACATATGGCTGTGAGCAGATCTTTCTAAAAGGTATGGCACTAGGAAAAATTGCGCACTCGCTCGTCAGATTGTCAATTGGACGAAGTAACGAAGGGCAATGAAGTTGCCGCTTTGACCTGAACACAGAAACAACATCATTAGGCCATGGGCCGAAATCTGTAAAGCGCTTAAAAATCGAGTTCGTGGTGACTCTCGAGGGGGAACCTGAATTTTGGTGGGTCAAAAAGCTAAAAGCCTAATTTACTAAATATAAAAAGTTGACATCTCCAAAGTGGAGCATTACGACACAATTAACGATGACGTCACATGCCCTCACAACCCATATCTACCTTATAATATTCTACTTAAACCTCGGATTTGTACGTCGAATACCGAAACCTTTGACGGATTCGTAAAATAAAATTTTCGAGGGGTAAGTTTTTGTCTCAAATGACGTCACAATTTTCTCTTTGGTCAAATGTGACGTAATAACTGCTTTTCAACATTTTTTTCTGTTATTGTGCGGTGACTAAGTAATCTGCAATGACCATCCCTGCTGTTTCCTATCGATACACACAGAAACGGATATTTCAAAACTAGTTTTTTATGGCATATTCTTCCGTAAAAGTAACAAAACTAATTATGGCAAAAATAAACATTAAAAAACACTATGCTATGAAAAGAACACAAAACGAGAGAGCAAGAGCGCGTTTGGCCAGAAATAATGAAAAAACAAAAGGCAAAATATTTCTCATGTCCTAATAATTATCTAATCAGCGTCACCTGCTATAAAATCTACTATGAGAGTTGTAAGAATTGCAAAAAAAAACAATTAAAATATTTAAAATAAACAAGCAAGCGGCTAATATGGTGCATATATCACTATTGAATATATATGTTTAAATTGAAATAATTCGTGCTATCTCGTATAATGAATGTATATCACTATTTTAGTTGTTTGGGATGGACTTCATGAAAGTTAAAACCACATTTCGATACCAATATCATCGTCTTCTTCACGGATGACATCCGCGTTGCTACAATCAATGCAACTGCACAAACTGGAGCATGAAAACCCTGACTTCACACAAGGGCATTTGCTGCTCTTGCAATTTAATTTGGCGCATCTGCATTTAGAGTGATTTAACACTGAGTTTGGGGCAATTTGTTTTGAAATCCATTTAATATTTATATTACTATCATTTACTATCCATCCGTGACCATCAGGATTTGGAGCAGATATAAAATTTTGTAGTGCTCTTCTGTGTATGACACATTGGTAGTTTGCACGTGCTGAATGGAGTACGATAGCATCATCAGATGGGGGCATACAGGGTTCGTCTAACGATTTATTTTGAAATATTTCAAAACGTACTTCGTCAACAGTCATCTCATCAGAGTAACCATAAAGAGTGCAAACAAACTTTGGAAGTTGAATATAAATATTTTCTGGAATGTACCACTGATCTCCTAACTTTGAAAAAGCCTGTATGAATTCTTTTGATTTCAATAAATGTCGCATACCCTTCATTTTTCCCTTTCCACGGAAAGCGCCAATGGTGTCACATCCGCTAAATACATGTAGACCCAGAATAGCTTTGCAAAAGACATTTCCGAAGTAGTTAATCATTTTTCTGATTGATTACATCCTGGACTGCGAACCACTTCTCACTAAAAATTACAAATTACATCCAATATCGGAAGAATGTGCCAATGACAATATCAATACATCGGTATCAGGACTGTTAATAATTACGTCGTTAAATTCCGATGAACAATGCTTTGCGTGTAATAAAAGCTTGATATCTGCTTCTTCGTGATCGTTGACCAAAGAAGGCTCGCCCGATACGCAAAGCTGGAATTGGCTGAAATTGATGCAGTGACACTCAGCACCGCGCCGATAAAAATTTTCTTATTCCCTACAGGACATGAAGGTTGATAATTCGGTGCAAACGAAATTAAAAATTCTACAAGAGCCTCCCTATTCTTGCCGGAAAACAAAAACTTTTTAAACTGTTTAGGCGTTTTTTGTTCAAATCCTACTATTTTGATGATTTCGCTTTCATTCGATGATCTTCGACACCTTTCAAAATTTTTTATGCTAATATCTGGATAAGTGTCACACACAAAGTCAACCCTGTTACAATTGTAAGACTTTGCCATATTAATTATTCTGTCGAAAATCATATTTAAGAGTGTTCCAAAAGTTTTCGGAATATTATTCAAAGATTGCAATGAAGCCATACCATCTATTACGAGAGCTGCATTCCATAGGATAGGATAGAATATACATATTTATCCCGGGGGAGAGGAATCCTTCACAATGTTAATGAGTAAATAAAAACAATGTATTGTTTGATAAAATATATAAAAAGGCCACATATTCGTCTCATTGTGGCAGCCTTTTAATACAGCAATAGAAAGTGCGAATGCGCCATAATTTGAAGTGAAATGCGGCGATTGTTCATAGGTGGAAATTAATGCGGCCCGCACGTAACCGTATATTTGGCCCGCAAGTACATAAAGTATGCCGACCCCTGCTGTAACCGACCAGCGGTTACGTGAACCATCCTACGACGGCGAGGAGTCCAGCAATCCTCTCGCACATAACTACGCCGCATGGGATTCGAACCTGCGAACCCACGCAGGTAAGTTTGTGTAATTGTTTGTGAAGTGTGTAAATTGATTGAGATATAGTAGTTGCCGAGGTAGCGTGCCGGGCATTGATGAAATAAAAAAAAGAAGACAGGTAATATCATTCTAATGAGATCTATGTTGTAGTAAGTTAGACGAAGTACCGGTACTGTGTGTAATCAATCATGCAGATGCATGGTACATCAATACATACATGTTGTTTATTAAAACCATGTATTAAGATGGAGAGTCATTGAATCAGCTGCTTATCGACAAAAGTGTAACATATGTAATATAAGTTAGCTACAAACTATGTTAGTTGTCGACTATAGTGGTATAAACAACGGGCTCCTGTCGCTTGCGCAAAAACTGTATCTAATTTTGCTATGAATCTGACATCAATAATTTTATTTTGGTCGTTCTGGCATAAAACAAAACAATTACAAACGGACGAACAAAATATATTTACATAAATATTTATCCCGGGGGAAAGGAATGGCGGCCTAATCATATGGCGAACCATGGCCTCCCGTCCCTTTCCCAGTCCATGACCGGTATGGGATTACCGTGTTTTATTAAATAGCATGTTTTAATTCAAAATAGCTGCAAAACATAGATAATTATCAATCATTCAAAACGTGCAGGAGAATTTTTTTGCTATCGACTAGGTAAAAGAATTCCGTGTTATTGACTAGATCTTATTTTAAGGGGAGGGCTTATATTAAAATCATTTTTGAAATTCAGGCAAGGTCTCATTTTCAGGGTAGGTCTTATTTTTGGGGAAACACGGTAGTTATTATGTATACCATGCATGGACGGCGGGGAAAGCCATAGCCGCGTGAAGACCTACCTCTACGGTGGCGTGAAGTCCACCAAGGTGCAATATATTTATAATAAAGATACACAATGCGACATAAAAATGCGTTGCACTTATATAGAAAGAGATTGATGCATTCTGCACACCACCAATCTTCGTAAAACATTTAATGTTTAAACAAATAAACTTTGACATTTTACGACAGGCTCATAGATTGAAATCGATGACACATCAAGTATAAAAATATTTCTGTAGATTGGAGAATTCGTTCCATAGAAATCTAATCAATTTCGACTTATGGCTCAGTGGCAATAACTAACTGAACCAAGGCTATGAAATAGTGATATTTCATCAATTAAATTTAATAGATGTTAATTGAGACCTGTTCTTAAACAAACGATTGTTAATTATTTTAAACAATGCTCAAGGGCGTGTCATGTATATTATTTGAATATAGAACCCGTTGCGAACTGTGGGGATATAGCTCAGTGGTAGAGCATTCGACTGCAGATCGAGAGGTCCCTTGTTTAAATCCGGGTGACCCCTTTTTTGACTTCCACATCACACATTCTCAACATCAAACTTTTAATGTTTCAACAAATAATTTTGACATCTCAAGATTCTGTCGCTTCAAACTTTCATGGCGGTTATTACATCATAAATATTTCAATGTTGAAACAAATAAACATTGACATTTTACGGCATACTCATAGAATGAAAACGATGGTACTTCAAGTCTAAGAATTTTTTTATAGATTGCAGAATTCGTTCCTCAGTAATCCAATAACTTTCGACTATTAGTCGTTTACGCAAGGATTTATTTATTAACTGGCCAACTCATAAGCTAATTCAAGGATCCGGAACAAAAGGAATGACCCCGACGTGATTTGAACACGCAACCTTCTGATCTGGAGTCAGACGCGCGACCGTTGCACCACGAAGTCACTGTGTGCCGCGGGTTAAATCTTCGTTCATTTATTTGAAACCTAATATTGATGACTCTGTCAAGCAAGAAATGATCAATTGAGGAGAGATTCTTTCCGATCAGATAAAATAGTTTTTCTTTATTAATGCCTTTGGGGTAAAAAGCGTCACTGAGTGCCGCGGATTGAATCTTCGTTTTTATATTTGTAACCCAATATTGATGACTCTGTCAAGCATGAACTGATAAATTGAGGAGAGATTCTTTCCGAACAGATAAAATAAGTTTTCTAGATTATTGCCCGTGGGGTAAAAAGCGGACCGCTGTGGACTGTGGGGATATAGCTCAGTGTTAGAGCATTCGACTGCAGATCGAGAGGTCCCTGGTTCAAATCCGGGTGTCCCCTTGTATGACTTTCACATCACACTTTCTCAAAATCAAATTTTTGTTGTTTCAACAAGTATTTTTGACATCTCAAGACTCTGTCGCTTCGAACATTCATGACGGTCAATGCATCATAAATCTTTCAATGTTGAAACAAATGTTCTTTGACATTTTACGACAGGCTCATAGATAGAAAACTATGACACTAATTGTCTTATAATTTGTTTGGGGATTGCTGAATTCGTTCCGCAGAAGGCTAATCAATTTCAACTATTTGTTGCACACATATGGCGGTTAATATTTTGTAAAACATTTAATGTTTAAACAAATAAACTTTGACATTTTACGGCAGGCTTATCAATTAAAATCGATCACACTTCAAGTATAAAAATATTTCAGTAGATTGCAGAATTCGTTTCTCAGATATCTAATTATTTCGACCTATAACTTAGTGGCTATAACTATCTGAACCACGGCTATGAAATAGTGATATTTCATCAATTAAATTTAATAGATGTTAATTGAGACCTGTTTTAAACAAACGATTGTTAATTACTTTAAACAATGCCCAAGGGCGTGTTATGTATATTATTTAAATATAGAACCCGTAGTGCACTGTGGGGATATAGCTCAGTGGTAGAGCAAAAAAAAAAAAAAAAAAAGCATTCGACTGCAGTTCGAGAGGTCCCTGGTTCAAATCCGGGTGTCCCCTTTTATGACTTTCACATCAAACATTCTCAATATCAAGTATTTTAATGTTCGAACAATTAAACTTTGACATTCTACGGAAACCAATGAATTGAAATCGATGTCACTTTAATTCTAATAACCTTTTTGAAGTTTGCAGAAATCGTTTCTTAGATATCAAATCATTTTTGAATATTAGTCGTTTTCGCAAGGGTTTATTTATTAACTGGTCAGTTCATGAGCTGATTCAAGGATCCGGAACTAAAGAAATGACCCCGACGTGATTTGAACACGCAACCTTCTGATCTGGAGTCAGACGCGCTACCGTTGCGCCACGGAGTCACTGTGTGTCGCGGATGAAATCTTCGTTCATATATTTGAAACCCAATATTGATGACTCTGTCAAGCATGAACTGATAAATTGAGGAGAGATTCTTTCCGAACAGATAAAATAGGTTTTCTATATTAATTCCCGTGGGGTAAAAAACAGATCGCTGTGGATTGTGGGGATATAGCTCAGTGGTAGAGCATTCGACTGCAGATCGATAGGTTCCTGATTCAAATCCGGGTGTCCCCATGTATGACCTTCACATCACACTTTCTCAAAATCTAATTTTTAATGTTTCAACAAGTAATTTTGACATCTAAAGATTCTGTCGCTTCGAACATTCAGGGCGGTCAATACATCATAAATCTTTCAATGTTGAAACAAATATTCTTTGACATTTTACGACAGGCTCATAGATAGAAAACTATGACACTAATTGTCTTATAATTTGTTTGGGGATTGCTGAATTCATTCCGCAGAAGGCCAATCAATTTCAACTATTTGTTGCACACATATGGCGGTTAATAT